TTCATAAACACTGCCCTCACATTACTTGGTTAAAACTCAATTTTTCCTTAATCATTTTCAGGGCCCTGGACAAGGGCTGACCAAAGTTTTGTTTATTCAGTGTTGTGAGACTTCAGTACTCTGTAGCGGAAGTTTCTTGTTTTGATGCCAGAAAATAGCCAAATTAAATGACCCTCATTTTTTGCAATGTGAATACCATTTGTTTGAGTTATTAATCACTACGAATGATCCTTTGAGTAGTGCACAAATGCAGATAGACTTGCTCCATCACTAAGGTGGAAGCAAGGAACTGCATCTCAGAGAAGACTGAGTCTTTTCCTTGCCTTTTTGTGAATCAATGCCTAAGATTCTGATGAGGGTCCCTCGTGCAATCTTGGAAACTGTTCCTCCTCGGTGATGGAGGCGAGGACTGGCATCTACCTAGGTTACTTCCTCTCCTCAAAATTCTCATGAATCATCCCTGGGATGTCCCAGAGGATCTTCTCCTCTATCTTCCTTCTCTCCAGGTTGAAGGAGGCGAGGGCGCTCTTCTCATCAGCATCATGGTCTGCTTCTCCTGGGGCATACCCACAGCTTTAATAGGAGGAGGTCTAGGGAAGAAATTAATCGCAAAAAGAAACTAAGTTGAAGCAAAAATTGCGACATCTCTTCAAAAATTATAGGATCCTCGAATGCTCCTTGTTTGTAAACCTTTTATTTCATTAAAAAACCGTGTCTAGTGCGTTTCATCCATTTTCATGTCAGAGCATGAAGAGGATTCCTTTGACACTGCTGACCCATTACCTCTGAAAGTATTTGTGAATTGTACTATTTGCTAAAAATATATTTCCAGACACCCCTTAAGGTGAATCAAAAGGTGACATTTTNCAAACACTTAAAATTGTCTTTCCCTTTTCCTAACAAGTGAGGGCGCTGTTTTACCATGATACTGTAACTCAAATCGGGGAAGACCACAAACCTAAAATATCTATGGACCAAAAGGTCCTACAGAATCCAACAATTAATCCCAACTGTGGGCAGAAATATTTCAACAGTGTGCACAAGTCTGTTGAGTTGAATACAAATCGGAAATTTTGGATGGTGACTGAAGATACTGTTACATGTAAGTGTTTACAACGTGGTCCCTTTTTGTATTTTGGTTCAATATTTGTCAAAATTACGGTTGATCCTTTGATAAGAGCTCTGAACACTTAAACCTTTGCCCGTATTCATTGCTCACCTTCAGAAAGCCTGCACAAATCCCCACAATGTATGTGATTTTAATTTTTAGACTATTTTTGGAATGTTTTGGAAACACAGTTCTCAGTGCTCTATCAGATAAAACTTGGGAAAATATGTTAAATTTGCTTTTGAAAATATTCACTAAACAACAGAGATGTCAGGAATTTATCCAAAGTTCACATGATGTGCACCTTGGCTTCTACTAATGGCTTGTAACAATGGGCAATATTACGAGGAAGACGAATTGAACTATCCGGGTTAGAACTTTAAGAGACCAAGCGGGCCAAATAATCATTGATGGACAATTGCCACAGTTGCCTCAATCCATCTTCGTTGATGCAGAGCAGTGCTGCACAGCAAATCATGAAACCCTAGGGGACAAGGCAGCCATTTGCTCATGGTTATTAGAAATAGAGACTTTCCTTTAATTATGCCCCTGCTGTTGTCGGTCCATAGGTATTTTATGTCTATGATTGATAGAAGCTTCATTTCATGAGTTTTCCTATTAACCACTTCATGCCGGGGCATTTTTCAACGTTGATGATGCTGGGCCGGCGTGACTATCATTTTTTCCGTTTTCAAAATCCATCAAAAATTCATCATTCCATTTAACGGTCATTTATAGCCACACGGAGTAATCTTTAGGCACTACTCTAAGTTGTCACGTGATCTTCATTGACGCCCGAATATTTCAGCCAGGCCTGCAGCCTTGTAAACAGAGCCCTGATTGTGCGGTGTTATACAACTGTCTTTTGTTCACAAACCTGGCTCAGTGCACTGCTGACCTCTTTTCAATAGGGGCCAGATTAGCGTGCAGCGGTGTTGTGTGGCTCATCGCTACGCTGGTGGAGTGCTTTTGTCCCCGGTGGTAATCCGCTTGCTCTCAATGCCCC